CTTTTGCAGGCATGTGATACGTACTAAATATAGTCGAATGTTATAAGTGCGAATATGCGGAAACGAATAGTTTTTTAAATATTTATATTTTTGTCATGTGGCTAAATAAACGCTTATTGAGATTTTCATGTGTGAAAAACAGATAAAATTCAACAGTACTTTCCTGAAGTACGTTCCTTTTTATTTTATTAGTGTATTTGAGCAACGTAAACATTAATTTGTTAAAATATTATCAACAAAGACAAAACAAGAAATCGAAAAATTTATTTTTTTAGATTTTAGATGTAACCAGCATTTGAAGCAACAATAATAATTAAAGATTCATATGATTTTCCTAACTTGAATTTAAACTATATTGCAATGTGAACCGATTTTAATTTATCTAAATTCTAGTTTCTTGTGATATTAAATTAGGTTTATTTAAATTAGGTTATGTTAGGTTAGGGGTTAGGTTAAGCGAAATGGTATCATCTGAAGGTTCTATTCCTTTTGGAAAAATAAAAAAAATTGTCGAGTAAAAATAATTAAAGAAAAAAGATGAGGTTAAGTTAAGTTAGGTTAGGCTTGTTTTGAACTTCTATTCTTTTGTCGCGTTACAAGTTTCGGAGTAGACCCTATTCGTTATCGTAACATTTTGTTCAGCTTCTCTAATATTTTCTATTTTTTCCAAATATTGAGCTTTTTAATTTCTGCGGTAGGGGAAAGGGTTTCGCACGAAATTCTTACGAGGTTTCTCATCTATATAATCTATAAATTTCATGAAATGCGTGGTGGGGGCTATCCGGAATTCTGACCCACGAATGCCCGACTTATCGTTAGAAAAGTGGGACAATCCGCGAGTCGCGAGTCATGGGACGCGACAGCGCATTTTCGGCGTATATTTAGCGCTAAATGCACGTGTCCAATCATCGTGGCCGTCCGACAAATGGCGAGCGTGCGTTTGTCCGTCGCGCGCGAATAAAATGTTAAGTCACCGTCTTTGGGATCACGAGAGAGGCACACGCTCGTGCGCACGCGAGCTATTGTTTTAAAACCGGACTGTCCCGCCAAAAGCGGGACGTCCGATGTCCGATCGCCTTATAAGTACACGAGTCGCTCGCATCGGTCGGCGGGACTTTTCAAAGCGGACTGTACCGTCGAGTTGCGCAGGTGTGACCGATGGCGGCGGCCTTTGATCCTGCGGCGACTCCTCGGCTACTTTGTCCACGACTCATCGCGCCCGCCTCTCTTTTTCGTCATTCGGTTCGATTATTTCCTAATGGCTAACGCCATTGCGAAAACGGCCATCGCGCGTATGCCGGCCCGGTGAACACGATGCGCGATAAAGGAGAAGGAGGACGCACAGAAGCGCCCCGGTTGTCGGCTAACGACGTTAATTCATGAGATTTCCCTCGTCACGAAAATTGTAAAACGGTATCCGGCATTACGGCCCGCTAATGAGATACGACGCGCGGCGATGATTTTCGGCTACTTTGAGCGGATCGAATGATGGTTCGATGCATTAGTCGGTAGAATCGATGCGACAAATGTTAGTATTTGTCCTTCTCGATAAAATGTTCGCATATTCATATGCGTTTGCGTAGTTGAATATTTAAATCTATTCAGAATAGATGATTTTTATGTTCATATAACTGAAGCTGCAATTTAATGTTAATATAAAAAAAATTGAAACATTTTTTACATAAAGGAGTTGAAAGAATTTTCAATATTGAGACAAAAATGTTTTGGTTGGATTTTTTAGTTTTTGGGAAGGTTGGGTTCATTATATGCAGTTACATTCTTCTTATTAAAACAAAGAAAATTCTTATAAACATAGTGCCTAAAATTCTCAGTTCTCTCGCGCTAGAGGCGTATCTTGTAAAGCTTCAAGATTATACAAAATTACAGGGATTGAGGTTAGCGTCGAATCAAAATTGAGAGAATTAATTTTGATGTTAACGTAATACGTATAATAATTTTTACAACATCCTTCTCGTCTTCGAGCCTCGCATCGGCGGGATAAGTCCTGCAAGATCTCCGCGATTCGACGATCTCGGAGACACATGGTGGTATTGCAAGTTTCTTCACGAGATTCTTCATCCTGATGCTTCTCGGTTTGGCTCTGCTCCGTGATTCCAGGGCTGATCCAATTTCTAATTTCTAACCTCGATCCCTGTCATTTTGTATAATCTTGAAGCTTTACAAGATACGCCTCTAGCGCGAGAGAATTTCTCCCGACATGTCCGATGATAAAAGAACCACGTGCGCCTTCGGAGGCATATTACGCGAGACGCGATTTAAATAAATGAGTCCTCCTCCGGCATGTTCTCGGGACTCGACAAATAAATGGCGCGGCGAGCATAAAAGGAAAAAAAAAAGCTCGGCTGTCATGAGGCACTTTCATTGAACAGCGGCCGATAAGACGCGACGCGACGCGACGCAGGTGATTGCTTTAACCGGCTGTTTCTTAAACCGGCAATTAATTTATAATAACAGGCCGATTTAAGAAAATTGCCGCATTAATGGGCGCTCGCAACGAGCATGATAAGATACGGCGCGAGTCAGGTCTCTTTAAGGCTGCGATCCGTTCTCGCGCAGACCGCAGCGCCGCGCACGAGGAAATTAATAACAACGCACTGAAATGCGCCCGCAACTCGCGCTATCTCCCGGCGATCTAAAATTCAAATCTCCGTTGGGCGGTATCGCTTGATTGAGGGAGCGCCGGCTTTCTCGATCCGGCTACGTGCGTTACGCTCGGAAAATATTGATCGATCGATCGACATGTTTATTTCGCGTCTCATTCCTCAGCGCGTGGCGGTGTGGCAGTCTCGCGCGAACACGGATTATTTATATTTACGCACGTTTTTTTTTTTTATTCCAAGCACGGCTCGCTCCGGGATTTAACTCTCCGAACACGACGCATCCGCTAGAAGCGTTTTGAAATACAGCCCTGGCTAGATCAGCGGGACCTATCGTGATTATGGCTCTCGGAATCCCGTGGTCGGGGCACCGTAACGAATGCGTAATACTTTTATGGAGAGGAGATAGAGAGAGAGAGAGAGAGAGAGAGAGAGAGAGAGAGAAAGAGAGAGTCCTTCCGTGTCTCGAAAATACGTTTAATTTGTAGCCCTTTTGGAGGGGCTCTCCAGAGTCTCACAATTCCGGCGGTCACCTGAGAAAGCTTCGATTCGTTTTGCATGTCCCAGCTAGTCGTCCCTCGAGATTATGAAACCTCGCTGTGCTGCGAGATGCCCCCGTGTACACGGTGTCTCAGAAGTTGTGTACCTCGACTACGAATCCACTTTTCCCAAGTCTGTTGAGCGAAGGAATGTATCGACTCGCCTTGCGTTCTGAAATCGGTTTCGGAAATTTCAATTTTAGTTATAAAGTTAATAGGTCTTGAACTAACCTGCATACGTTCCGCAATTAATTCGGCTGATTATACTTGAACGTTCACAGCCATATACTATTTCTGTTTACAACTTTGGTTTTAACTACTAATTTTGTAATATTAGATAGAGAGAAATGGATGAGTATTTTTGTTATTTACTATCTTGATTATCGAATCTCCTGATCGTACAGTTGATCGCATGGATCAGCTGATCAATTACGGAACGTATATAGGTTAGTTTAAGGTCTACCAACCTTACAATCAAAATCAAAGTTTTCGAAACTGATTTCGGGGCGCACCTTCGGTAAAGATCTCTTATCGTGGAGGTTATCTGGATACAGCGAGTAGACGCCATTTTTTATCACTTTAGTGACTTTAGGAAAAAGTCGGTAATGTCGGGACTTTGACTAGAAGATCTCTCCAGTAAAGTCTAACACGTCTGCGCCTTGAAGAGACAACCGTACACGCCGTTAAATGCTGCACAGCCGCGCGCACTTCTCTCTCTCCGCATTCTGCGGTTATCGGCAATTTCGCGAAATTGATCAGAGATTACCTTGTTCCAATTACCGCTGCACGCATATCACCCACCTTCCCCCTTGCGTTTAGTCTCGTGGCTCTGCGAATCTACACTATGGAGCAATGGGAGAAACGCGAGGAAAGGGGGACGATAGAACCTCTGGTGATATCCATTCTTATCGCGCTGTCGCTGTTTATCCCTGGGATTAACTGCGCGTAACGCGCGTTAAGTGAGTGGCGAAGCCGATAAGAATGGCTTCGTTTCGTCTTTCGATTCCCTCTCCTCTCTCGACGCATTTCCGCGAGAGAGCCTTTTCCGCTGCGTGAGCTCGCGCGAGCGAAATTACACGAGAGAGCGACGTGGACGATAAAATCTTAATATGTAAGTTATTCGTATATCGGCGGCTAATTACCGCATCGTGCTTCCGAAAGAAAGAAAGAGAAAGGGAGGGAGGGAGGGAGGGAGGAGGGAGAGAGACACGCTCACCGGACGACGGTCTTGTTATCGGGGGGATTTAATTGCCACCATATCGACGATCCGTTTGCGGCCCCTCTCTCTCTCTCTCTCACACTCTCTGTCTGCCTCTGTCTCTGTTTCTATCTCTCTTGCACGCGTCTTCGCTCATTCATTAGCGGGCGTGCGTAATAACCGGCGATGCGGTGCCACGCTACCGCGAAAGCCGAATCGCGGTCGGATCTTTCGCGAGAAACGGGATCGCCGATAAGATTGCTCTCCGTCGTAAAGCGCTCTCTTAACGATTGCTGTCATTACGCATCGTTTCTCTCTCGCTTCTTCTTAGCGTTGCGCGGGTTATTGTTTCCTGTATTAACCCAGTGGAGCTTTCCTCGCGACTGTGCGCGCACGTGTGACACGCGTGCAGTTAAATAAAATTAATTCTGCAGAGCCGCGCGAATCCGCCGAGGTCCTTCGGCCTTGGCTGGCCAAGGAACAATGGCCGAGGAGGCTTTGGGAGTGATTTGGCATACGACAAATTTCATCCCGTGCGCAATATTGATCGACTTCACGCGCGCTTCCTCCCCCCCCCTCTCTAGGAGAAAGAGAAAGAAAAGTCGAACGTACGATTAACCGGTAACCGTGCATTTTCTGTTGCAGAACAAGCCAACCATTTGAACCTGTTCAACAACCGGCAACAGCCGAAGAAGAAACGCAAAAGCCGGACCGCGTTCACGAATCAGCAGATCTTCGAGCTGGAGAAACGATTCCTCTACCAGAAGTACTTGAGCCCGGCCGACAGGGACGAGATCGCTGCGCAGCTCGGCCTGAGCAATGCCCAGGTGATCACGTGGTTCCAGAACAGGAGGGCGAAGCTCAAAAGGGACATGGAGGAGCTGAAGAAAGACGTGCAAACTGTAAACCCGCTGCTGGTCGCGCAGCATCACAAGACCTTCCTGGAGAATGTGCAGGATCTGGGGATCCTGAAGAAACGACCATTGCCAAACTCCATGGACGAGAAGTCGTAGGACGCCCGAGAGCGACTTAGCCTTAAGACTTTCTTTCTGCGTGCAATCGAGGCTCGACGGTGGCGGAGCAATCGGATGTAACGGATGTGTCACATGTGTGTTGTTAGGTGCTTGCAAAAGTTCGTCGGATTGCGGATAAGTGGAGGTTACTGCGGGTTGACAGTTTTGTGTTTTCACGGAGCTTTATCAATTCAAGAAGGTACTGGCTCATGATTTTAAAATTTATCCACGGCGTCTAAAGCAACGACATAACCTCATTTTCATTATAGGTAAAAACGGTAAAAACCTGATAAAATGTGTACCTACGCCATTATAGGCTTTTTTGTTTTAACCAAAAAAGACTGCTGCGGAAAGAAAATGCTTATTCGCCATATTTGATTTCATTTATTCAGATCGATGCAACGCGACTTTTCCGGTATACGATTTGTTAATGTCGAGAAAGTGCGAAAATGGATCGATAATTGTCTCAAAAGATGTATCGTTTTTGGAAATGGGATCAGACAGTTATATCTGAAAGAAAATGAATATGTGTGTGGTTTTACTCACTGCTAATTAAATAAGTACATCTAAAAGCCCGACGAATTTTTGCAAGCAACGATTTTCCTCGTGCGGGAGCCACACGCGAAGGTCAATTGCCGCAAGCCGAAAATGGCCGAAACACTGGCTCGCGCGATATGTTTCTTTCGATGCGTCGCTCGGTACTCTTTCCGACGCATTTCCACGCATTTCCTGCTCTTCCATAGGAAAGGCGCAAGGAACATTCTCCGATCAAGAGTCCCTTTTTCTTCTTTCGTTGATCGCTCGATATCCTTCGGCAGTCGCTCGATAACTTTACCCACTGATCCGCTGCTGATTTAAATCTTGGTTCTTCGCGGTCTTTCTGCGTGTCAAACGTTTTCGCGAGTTTTCATTCACCAGTTGTTTACCATTAGGACGTGTTAATCTCGACCGCGAGATGTGTTAATATTTTATTGCCTATCGCAATATCCGCAGCCTCACGTCGAGGATTCTACCTGCAAAGTTGTCTCATTCGAACTTGTTGGTTCAATGAGCACGGTTCTATGAGCACGGATCTGTAAGATTTATCGAAGGCTTGCGAAGATTTATCGTACATCCCACGTGTAGTCGAACAATTACCCGAGAAACGGCGAAACTTTGATCGGATATGACGGTGACGTTATTATCAACTAAAAAAAAATTCGGCTAAAAATCGAACTGACTTTCTCAAGTACCGAGTAACGAAAGGTGGAACGCGATCGCATTCGGAGGGAAATTTTCGTCGCACTTGTCAGACCCGAAAGTGGCATTTTCGTGTGTGGTGCAGTCGCGGCTTTAGGTGGGAACGAAAGCGCATCGTAGTCTGCGCGCAGCGCAACATTGTATCATAATGTATTTATTATATAAAATCGCGGACGCGCGAGAGAGAAGGAGCGCGCGGACCATGAAGAGGGCCGATTGAAAAACCGTCGATAATAAATTATTAAGCGAACATTATCCCTGATAAATTATAAACGGCGACGCGTCCTCGTCGCCGTCGTGTATATACAATGTATATATATATACCGTTTCCTCGATAATATTACGCATAGACATGATATAGAGCCGTTATACAAGATTAGAATTAAAGGAAAAGAAAAAAGAAAAAAAACAATGAAATCTCGTAAACGATAGATGGGACACTGCAATATACCTGATTATGAGTTTAATTAGTGAATTTAGGGAGAGCGATTATAAGATGTACATCTACGTAATGGCGGTTCGTAAAGTGATAGCGAGGCGCGTGTGTAAACCGACTTAGTATACAGTGTATAGCGAAGCTAAATAAATGGAAACATTATTGAAACGAAGCAACTGTCACAAGCGACTTCTTCGTCTCGTCATCTCTCCTTTCAATTTTCCCACGATTGGTATTGCGCTTGGATGAGTCTTGCCAGACAAAGATAGCACGAGATACGCCAATTCCTCTTGGCTAAGGCTGCCAGATTTGTAAGTTGATGGAAAAGGACGGTCGAAAATTTTGATGAGCAAAAAAGAGAAAGGTCGTCAGGTGGAATGCCTGTTGTTTTTCCGAACGTCAATTTTTAACTACATATATTATATACATATCATTGATAAAAGTATATTGACAAAAATGTTACTAGATCGTGACTATGACAAGTCACTATAGTGAGAATCTGACAAGGAGAAAAACTCCTTCGATACGATAAGGAAAGACAAATAACGTCCTCGACAAGGTATGAAAGTTTTGGGTAGAAAGAAGAACAATCCTTCTCAAAGGAGGACATCTGGCAATAAATTCTATTCTTCGCACTTTGTGCTGATTATGGATGAATCCAAGTGCGATCTCAAGGTTTGTTCTCTTTTGAAGTACGAAAAATGCACTAGTACTGAACTGAAGTGCAGAAGTGCAAGTAAGGCCCATGGCACACAATGACATAGATGCATATGCGTGGCGTAAGCTCACTTCGACCAATCAACATCTAGGAAAAAGTTGTCACGTTGATTTACAGAGCATAACATAACTGATTCCTAGATCCATATGATCTTACGCTATGCATATGCATCTATATCATTTTGTATGCGATGGTCCTAAGGACAAAAGAACGCCATAGTGCAGTAGGCAACTTGGCGCATTACGTAGGACTGTGTGTTATATGTTTACTTTTACGGTTAGGTTAGGTTAGGTTTTGGTGTAAAACTGTACTGAAGTGGCTGTACACTGGAAAGCAAAACGGTTTCGACAGTTTTTCTTCTAGTGACAGTTTTTTTTTCTAGTGAGGGTAATCCGTGCAATTGTGAATTTGAGAATCACTGCTTAACCAAGCTGCACAAAAGATCGTGGATCTCTCTCTCTCTCTTACATAAGTACTATCTCAAGACTTTGGGTCTGTTATTTACAGCTGCACTGCTGAACTAGCGCAATAAGTTAAAATGAAACAACTATATTTTTTTTCATTTCTGACAAAAAGAACATTTTAGCGTACACTCGTTGCAATAGTGCACACTAGTGCGAAAAGTTTTTCGAAAAAGGACCTTGTGTCTCAGTGGCGGCTGATACGCGCAATATTAACGCAAAGGATGTTGAAACAGATATTTCAATATCTTACATTTGCAATAATGCAGACTAAATTCCCCGTGAACGTCATTTCGAGAAACGTCGTAAAGATTGTTAACTTGTTGAATTTCAGTCAAAAGGAAACTTGTTCACTTTAAGATGAAGATGATATAAATTCGTGTAAAAGTAAGTCGATGCCAGAAGTGGTATCTGGTTGACCATCTACGTAATCTTCCATCGAGATAAGAGCGAACACATGTTTACGATCCTCTTTCGAGTCTTCCATCTCTTCGCATTTGGCGTTACGTTTCGATTCTCTTTCTCACCTCGATATTCTCACGATCAGATCCGACTCCGCAGTTCACACGTCGTTTATCAGAAGGAAGACGACAGTCTTGGTCGCGCACGCGCGCCAAACATCGCAGCGCGCTAGAAAAGTCAACGACGAGGGGCTCGGCCGACGTTCGACGGTGTGGCGGATTTACATTTTACAGCGCCTTGCGTAATCCCGCGTGCGGCGGAAGAAGCCTCGAGCTGCGTCGGCGGTGACGGCGGCGGCGGCGCGCGCGCGTAGAGATGAAAAGGAATTATTCTCCAAAAATAGCGCGCTCACCGCGCGGCCCTTCTGGGAACCTTTTTGAAGCCGCACTCGCGCGCGAGTCGTTTACCCGGCGACGTAATTTATTAAGATGAAGTCATTTCGCCTTTTCCCCCGTTGTATCCGTTTGCGCACGCCTAGTCTGGCACTCGTCATAACCGCGCGGACATAAGCGCGCTTCTGCCGGCGCGAGAACGGCCGACGGATCGGCACTCGCGAGCCTTCTGGGGGCTCGCCGGGAAAGACACCTACCTACACACGCGATTACACGTGCCACGGAAGCCGGCGGGGTCTCATTAGAAACGTTGAAAGCGCGAGGCATACCCGAGAGAAAGGGGGGAGGGAGGGAGGGAAAAGAGACGTGTAATCAGCATACAGTTATCGGCCGTAATCGCATCCACTATAAACATCCTAGATTCCACTCGATTAATCTATAGCTCGCACGCGTTTTATATCAGAGATAATGACGACAGGCTAATGATAGACTCATTAACGGGGCCACGCTATCAAACGGTTCCGTTTAGCATCAGGCACTCCAGCGACCGGAAGCGGAGTGCTAACGTCGCGCTATCTGCCGATGTATCGCGAGCCGCGAGAGAAAGAGAAGGAGAGAGACAGAGACTCGTTGCGCTGATATGCGATTGGCTGCTTTATTTATGCCGCCTCAGGTCTCAAGCGCAAACCTTTGGGCCCCTCCGAGGCCCTCCGACCGCGAGATCCGTATCGGGGATTTGTGCGAAATTTCCGAAATGTCCGCTACTTGGAGAAATCGAGTGTTTATCGCGCTCATTACGTTCGGTCTGATCGATACGAGCTCGCATCGAAGGCTCGAGCGAAGGGCTCGAGAGGCCGCGGAAGGAGGGCGGGACGAAGCGACGGAGCGCCTAAAGAGGTCGCGCGACGTCGGGGAAACACCGAAAGCGGCGAGATTTCGCGAAGAGGGGCGGATTCGGACGGGAAGATCGCGCGATCGACAGGCGACATCGCGAACGTTCGCAAAGTCACGCGCCGACAAGCTTGAACGCGAACGCGAGGCGGCTCATAGCCATCGCTGCTATCGATGGGGCCCATATATATGAAGCGGTAAGCAAGGTAGCCCGCACCGGCCTGTAATTCAGACGCCGCAGCATCCAAATAAAGAATTCATAATGGCGATGATGACCAGCGGCAATTTCCTCGATATATCCGATACGCCGATAATTCAGGCGACCGGACTATAGAAGCGTGCGATATCGCTCATTGTCCGCGTAGCGCCTCCTCATGCGCATGCGCGGCTCTACAAGATCCTGCCGCGACATTAACGAATTATCGTTTAATCGCGACGATCTGACCGGCGGCCGGCGGCCTCTCTTCGCCGGTGGAGTTCCATTATCGCGATCGTGCACCCGTGGCCCCGCGCCGCATCTCGGCGTGGCCAATTAATTTACGGTTCGTTTAATGTCGCGGGATCGTATCCTAATTATTTTCGATATATATTGGCCGCTGTTAAACGGCAGCGCGGGTCGGCGTTCGCTTAAAGCGTCCGAGGCACAGGCCGGGCTCAGAATCGGGCTCGCCCGCCGGCGCACCGACAGATTGTACGCGAAATGAATGTTATTGCGTCGAATTGTCGAAATATTAATTTCCAGCTAATTATCGGGCTCGGTAGCCGGCAAACCGCCCCCCTTCACTCACCGCGGCTCGGCAAGCGAGAGCTTTCAATCGGTCCGATTAAAAAACTCGTCTCTTCATTTCGTTTAATTGAATCCCGCCATGAGTATCTCTCCCTCTCCCTCCTCTGCTTCCTTTCTCCGTACGAGCGTTCGCTCGCGATATCGCGGGACGAGATAACGGCAATCGCCCGAAAATATCGATTCGTAATGTACTTGTCGATATACCGCTTCAATTTGAGATAACAGTCTGCTGATTAATAACAATTGCGATCTTGAGGTCTCTGGATTTTTGCACGGAAATCGCAATTTTTCTACGGTGACGTTCAGTTTCTAAGCCACTCGCAGTGGCTAATCGATGCGTTTCCATATGAAAACGCTTGGGAAATTTCTCTCTACTACAATCAATCAATGTACTTTTCACAAAATTTGTACACTTGTATCTGGTGGTTCAGTTACAAAGTACAGCACTATTATAAATTGTGCCTGCGATCGGTTAAAATCTCGCCGAAATGTTTTGTTCACGCAGCTTGCGTGAACATAGAAAATGTCATCGAGTGCAAGGCGTCAATTCTTCCTTGCTTACAAACGCAGAAAGTCAAATTCAGTGCAGCAAAAAACGAATTTGTACCAATGACGAGCGATTCCTCAATTCGATTTCTAGAAAGTCCGATCCTTTTTCCTCGAAAAATCGATTCTTGCATAAGCCGATTCTTCCTAATAGAAAATCATCAATTTCTGATCCGTTAATACATTTTTTACCAATGCTGCTTTATTCAATGAAGAATTCAACTGGGGTGTACGACCCAAAATCTAGCGGAGAAAAATTAATTTTTTACGGAAAAGCTCGAGACTTTTCTGAAGATCGAATCTTTACTCTTACCGATTTAACTCAGTGAGACGTCGGACGGAGTGATGAAGCGACAGCGTCTCCCCGAAGATCTGCAATTCGTTCACTGACAATCTGCGAGTGTGATTCGCTTTACTGAAAACTGATTTCAGAACAAGCCTCCGGTCGTCCAGCTCGCTCTCTCTCTCTCTCTCTCTCTCTCTCTCTCGCGCGCGCGCGCGCGTCCTCGAGTGTGCTACCGATCGCCGAGGTGAGCCGGCGCGCGTGCGAGCGCATTAGCCGGCCGTTGTTTTGCATAACCCGCCAGAAGATACCTCTCTCCGTAACGGCTCGCAGGGCTCATTTTCCCGGCATTGACACGCCCACGTAATTCGGACTCATTTACTCGTTGACTCGCTTAACCCGCAGCCAGTCATGCGTCAGTCAGGCCGGCCAGCCGCGCTCTGTTCGGAGTGCCGCAGATCCATAATTTCGATTCGAAGCGTTTCAGCACGCGAGAAACGAGTTTCCGTCGCTCTGCGCGATGTAATTAGACGCGGATCTAGGCCCCGACCCATCAGCGGGGCCTCGTTAATGCGATATCCCCGAGAAAGAGAGAGAGAGAGAGAGAGAGAGAGAGAGAGCGAGAGAGCGCGAGATCCTAGCACGATGCTCTCTCGCCCGCCGTCCATCAGTCCGGCCGCCCGCGCGTTTCT